AAGTATCTTTCCTATACAAATCGATTTGAATCATGTCATTATGTTTAAGCCTAACTTACTCATCCCATTTTATATCCTTTTTCATTGAGGCGCAATCACATTAAGTCTGTTATCCGTACATACTCATAGTAAGATGATCGATTAGTGATTTTGATCCTTTATACGGGGTTCTGGTACCTAAGGTGGTGTAACCTATTTCTTTACCCAATTGTAGTTGTGGGGGATCAGACCTTAATCCGCCCTACTAAGTTTAGAGCCAGATACCTTTGAATTAACCAACAATGAGTTTTATTATATTTTTGCAGGTTCCACAACTATTGGGGTAAGAGACCTGGTGAGGTCCCCTAAATTAGAAGTTGCATTCCCTATTTTTGATTAATTTAAGCATGAAAATTAGGGCCATTCACTTATATTCATCGACTTCCCTACATGGAGCCTGTTTAAGCCGCAGCTGCCTGCTAAAATAAACTACTTGAGGACTTATTTATGGGTGAGAATTTAAGGCTAATGCATAACAGTTATCCATATTGATCTCTATAATTAAGAGACTTACGGTGTTAAGATGATACTGATGTTTCAGGTTCTCCCAAGTCTTTATAACTTGTACTGAACTTGTCTAACATCCCACAAATTAAAAACTAACACTATTTCTTTTTGCAAAAAAAAACCCGGTATGGCTCAAGAAAAGGAAGAAATTTGACAAACAACAAGAACTACACATAAAGACTTGACACTACATGCAGTGACTTGATAAACCAAAGTAAAACAAAAGTAATACTAGAAATCAATAAATATAACTAGAAAGCAATAAATCTAACTAGAAAGCAGTAAATCTAACTAGAAAGCAAGTAAAGTTCCTCTTCCACACTTAAACCAAACATTGTCTCAATAACAAAGATAGAACTTGGTGTGTACTCACGATCGGGGGCCATGACGGCCTTGAGCTCTCCTTAATGAATAGATCTCCTGAAAAAGGTGGTCCATCTGCTCTATTAGTTTGTTGACTTGTTCTCTTTGGTCATGGCGAAGGGCCATGATTTCTCTTCTTAAAGCATGAAGCTCATAGTCAACATTTTGAGTATCAGTTGGATCTGAAGAAGATGGTGACGAAGGTGCATCTAAAAGAGGAGAATAATCATTTTCAGGTGAGGGAGGATTCTTAGGTGGTGATGGGTTTTCTAATGGGTTTTCAAATTGGTATCGTTAGTTGTTTTGGTTATGGACGCTAGTAAACTCGTGGTTTGGTAACATGAAATGATGGACAATTTCATAATTGATGAGAATTCTGAATTGATCAGGTCCTTCACGCCTTACTAAATTATAGTTTAGGCAATGATCAATATCAAGAAGGTCGTACCCAAAGGCAGGGGTTAAGTGAGCCGCACGATTGTGTAGGCCTAGTGCCATAGCAATATGAGTTACTAGTCCGCCCACATAAATTTTTTCTATGATTTTATTAGCAACCTTATTTAGATTTTTTAGTAGGAAGGTTGAAGAGTTAGTAGGGCGATTCTGGAAAACACTCAAGATGAAGAACATCTCATCTTTGCTCACACCAGTTTGGTTTGGTGCTTTTCTGCAGAATGTTTGGGTTGTAACCATATGAAAGTACTGAATGGCAGGGTTATGGATGAAAGTATTATTCATAGCCTCATGATCAGGGTGAAGATCTTAAGTGATTCCTCCCTAGAAAAAGTATAGTTCACCTTGCATGTTATCAAAAGGCACTTCAAAATAAGCTTGGGGGCTATGTTGAAAAGCAAGGGATCTGGATAACTCCCTACTTGTGAGACGCTAATCTTGGCCAAAGAGTATAAATATGGACAAGCCTATGTCTAGTCCTTGTATAGTGTGGGCCTGGGAATGGAATGAACTTAAGAATTCCAGTGTGAGGTTTATGTAGGTTAATTATTTTGCAACTGAAAACATGTCCCAACTCATTTGGGTAAACATAAAACAAACACTGCTAACAAGTCCTAGTTGGACCAAGGAAGGAAAATATGGGTATCGGGTAGGTGAGATAGTTCTCTCAGCTAGGGTACCAAAGCATTTCCTCTGGTCATTGTTTTTGAAAATGATCTTCGTTTCGTCAGTAGTCTGCATCCTAAAATAATATTAGTGGATAAAATCTGGCTAAGTAGAATGCAGTGGCCCTGAAAAGAAAACATACACAAGTTAGTTATTTATCATTTGAAATTAAAATTAACCGTTTATGAAAATGTAAATTCATGGGTTGCCTCCCACACATCGCTTTGTTTAACGTCGGTAGCTCAACGAAAATGAGAATCAGGTTGTAATGGTAGAAGAAGGTGGTTCAATCAAAGTATGGCGGTCATAGGTAGTAGGGGTGTCACTGCTACTATAGTGTTTTAATTATTGTCCATTTATAATGAAAGGGCCGGTTGATTGGCTTTGAATCTCGACAACACCATATTGCACGAATCTTGTAACTTCAACTGGTCCAGACCATTTTTAACATAATTTTCCTGAGAATAGTCGTAATATGGAATTGAATAACAACACTGGATTGCCCATATTGAATTATCTCCACGCGATTCGCTTATCATGCCATGCTTTGGTTCGTTCTTTGTAAATAATAACATTCTCGTAAGCATCACGTCAGAGTTCTTATAAAGCATAGATGTCTAATATGCGCTTGTTACTAGCTATTAAGTAATCCATGTTTAGGTTTTTTATAGTCCAATAAGCTTTGTGTTCTAGTTTTAAAGGTAAGCGACATGATTTTCTGTAGACTAGCTTAAATGGGGTAGTTCCTATGGGGGTTTTATAGGCAGTCCTATAGGCCCATAATGCATCTTGAAGTTTGTATGACCAATCCTTTCTGGATATTGTGACCGTTTTCTCTAGAATTTGTTTTACTTTCCTGTTTGACACTTCAACTTGGCCACTGGTTTGTGGATGATAAGGTGTTGCTACCCTATGTCTTACGCCATAATTAGTTAAGAGTTTATCAAAGATATTAGAAATGAAATGGGATCTTCCATTGCTTACGATGAGGCAAGGGACTCCAAACCTCGGAAAAATATAATTCTTAAACATTCAGATAACTACTCGTCCACCATTTGTAGGTGAGGCGATAACTTCGATCCATTTAGAGACATAGTCGACAACTACGAGTATGTATTTATTTCTCATGGATGATGGAAATGAACCCATAAAGTCGACTCCCCATACGTCAATGACCTCTACTTCTTGGATTGTTCTAATGGGCATCTCATCGCGTCTCTAAATGTTTCCAGTGCGCTGACACTGATCACATTTAATTATGAAGGCATGAACATCACACCAAAGGGTAGGCCAATATAGACATGCTTGAAGGATCTTTGCGCAAGTTTTAGATGTGCTCGCATGTCCTCCATATGGTGTGGAGTGGCAATGGATTATAATACTTTTAATCTCCTCTTCAGGTACACAATAACGAAAAAGACCGTTGTCATACCCCAAATTTGTCCGCCCTATTTCTAACAGTCAAATTACTTTTAAACGTGGGCTTTATAATTTTTTTGTTTATTTATGCTAACATTACAATATTAATTTATTTTGCTTATTTAAAAAATATAATAGTTTACTTTAAATTATTTGTATTTCTTAAATGACAAATATTTTCCCTCCCTCCAAATTCTTTCAAGTGCCTCTTTACTTTGAATAAATGAGATAGCACAATTGGAATAATGGTAAGACTTATAAGTAGAAGGTCATGAGTTCAAATCTCACTTGCTCTATTTTTAACATTTTTTTCTTTTATTTGTTACTAACTTTATTTCCATTTTCAAAATCACAAAATTGCATTTTTTATATTTTTTATATTTTAATTTTCGTTTTTTTAAAGCATTTTAAAAAAATAATCATTTATTTAATTTTATGCACTTTTTATCAAAAAAGAATGCAAAAATTATAATAAATACCAAAATATTTCCATTTATGGTTAACTCTTTCTTATTGGTTAATTTGTGTCATACTCAGCTTCTGATTGATCAACTTGCTGACCTAGGAAGATCTGATATGTCAATTTAATTTTATTTCCAATTTTATCAACCTAATTATACCTATAAATACAATGTTATATCCAAGAGATCTGCCATTCTCATAATACACTTTCTTTTAAAAAAACCTTTTAAACATCTTTTTGGTTTTACTTTTGCAAAATCTTTTCAAAACAATTTATTTTTTCTTTGACGAATGATTACATCTTTGATATGAGATCTCCCTTTTATTTTCAATTTCATCTTCTTTTTTTTTAATTTTAATTTATTTCTTATTTCTAACCGAATGATAATTCTGATGGTTATTTTTTATTAAAACAATTTCCAACCTATTTTTAACCTAACATCATTCTTGTTTTTGTCTCGAGCAACACTAACAATTTCTACATTCAGAAATTCACACACACGGTATATTCCCATCTGACCATTGTATATATATTTTTTCCACAACTTCTAAAACCTATTTCCTCCTTATGTACAAAATCCTGATTTTAAGTTTATTTATATTTTTACATTCTTCTAACGCTAGTTTTCCAGAAAATGGTTTTTACTCTTTGTTTCCATTAACAACAAACATAACAGCTCCAAAATCTAAACATTAAACCTGCAAAAGAACTTTCTTTTTTATAAACATAATCAGCAACAATATCTTCCGATCAAACCATTAAAAAAACAACTTTCTTTCTCCATAACTCAAATCATTAATCTGTAAAGAAATCAACGCTAGATCCATAAACCAACTTGTAAACTGAATTGGTTCATACAGACAAATATTTTATTGATTATGAATACTTGTTAAAACAGGTAAACTTTGCAAGGGAAAAGAAAAACACTACACTTAAATCCAACAATAATAGCAATCAGAAAATAGAAGAAGAAAAAAGGGAAACAAAAATTCGACGCACACAAGCTCTTCCAGTTCCGCCGCTTCCGCTTTAGTGCTCTGCTGCAACCGCATATAATATCATATTCAATTTATACTCTACCTTTTTATTTATGATTTCTATAGATCGGGGAAAGAAGAACAAGCATAAGTCAGAATTTGAAAGCAACAAAACAATTGAATTCAAAAGAAAAAGATTTAGAATATGCTGCAGCCGTCCGCGACTTTCACCACGGACACCAGCAATGCATCACAACTTACAACATGGAACCACGCCCTCCACTCGTCACCGACAACTTCAGATCCGCACCACTTATTTTTCCCTCCATCGAATTCCGATCAACATCCCTTCGATCACGCTTTTGATCCACACAACCCCCATCGACCGAACCAGCCTCTAACGCAAAAGCAGTAGCAGCAGCCACCTTCCCCAGCCGTGCAACCGTACGATGCCGAAGAAGAAGCACCAAACCGGCCCTACGATTCACGTCCAACTACGGCCTCCGTCCTTGTGTAAACGCATCACTGCTTTGCTAATCCAACGATAATCTCCAGGTTGGTTTCAAAACCCCTTTTTCTGATGTTGTTTGTTTTTGTATTGCCATAGAATTTTTGTTTTTGTTGAGAAATATTGGAGTAAGAAGAGAAGGAAATTTTGAGAAAAAGAAAAGGGGTCTGGGATGAGTACGAGCGATTTGGAGATAATGTTGATCTGAAAAATGTGTTTCCTCTCTCTTCAGGTATATCATGTGTTTTGTTTTTTTAATTATTATTTTATTTTATATCATACCACATGTTTTTATACTATTGGTAGAACTGTGTGTTAGAAAGTCAAAATAATAAAAAATAAGGTGTAATGCCGATAGTTATAAAAGGGGGAAGCGGCGCCCCGTGTACTCGATGTATAGCTTTTGTTATTTTTTGTTTAATTTAATTTTAAATTATTTACTTGTTATAATAAATTAGGTTTAGAATGAATGGACTTGGGCCTTTGTCTCATCGCTACTAACATGTACCCCCAAGTTTATTTATTTAATTTCTTTTATTTATTTAGTCAATTAATTAGCTATTTATTATTTAGGAATATCAATCAAAATATGAAACACGAAAAAATATGTCTTTAATTTTTAGATAAAAATAATCACCCGTATATAGATCTAACCCTAAGCTATTAACTTTGTACATAATCCAAGTACGATTTTACAAATCAAATTAATTCTAACATTTTTATAAATAATAAGATATATATCATTGAGTAATTAAGTGGTTGGTTTAACGTCTTATCAATTAGTTATTCAAAACAAAACATCTAAAACTCTCTAATTAATCAAATCAATGTCTTTGCCCAGGGCGATCTAATTCTAATGAAGATCAGCCATTCTTCAACTTATTCTAAAATAGATAACCAATGAAAAAAATATTTTCTACTAACATAATCAAATTAAAGACTTTTTTTATAAAGGATTGTTTGGTTTATTTATACTTGGATACAAAAACATCGCCAACTGTGATACGGTGGCATAACCGACTATTTTTACTGGTTTGCGTTTTGCGTTTTGCATTTTTTGTCGCAAAATGTCGCGATAAGCAAGAGTCGCCACCGACTTTTATTTTATCCAATCAGAAAAAAGAAAAAGAACAGAAAAAATCTTTTTTCGAGAATATTTTGAATACGGGAATAGATTATAGAAAGGGAAGGTGTTAGCACCCTTTCTATCTGTGGTTATCCACGGGCTCTTAGATACTTGCTCATTTTTTAAATTGCTTGTGTGTGCTTGTTTTGAAAAAGTTTACTTCGTGATAACCCTTGTATCAGTCCTCAAGGATGTGACGAAGTTGTTTTGAAAATTATTTTGAAAGGTGTTGGTGTGAAAAATCTATTTGTTTGAGCAAGTACTTAAGAGTTAATCTACCTACTCGAAAAGACTGTTCATTTTCCTTTAGACAACGCTATTCCATTATTAAGGAATAGGTACCACCATCGTTGGAGTTTAAAGGGACGTTCGAAGGGACATATACGGTCACAAAAGTAATGTTAGGAGGTGTTAGTAATCATCCTAAAGCCTTAAAGATTTGTTTCCGAGGCAACATCCGAATGGGTCATTTGAGATCTTTCGGGGCTATAGGACGACCACTAATAAACCCTATACCTCATGACGGCTTAATCGAAGGCAACCGAAGTGGAGTAAACCCTAGGAGTGAGCATGTGCGAGTGAGCTTTTTTCAGTTAATTTGTCTTTGCACATTTAGGTTATCTACCATTTTAATTTTCAAATATTCTTGCCATACAATCCTATTAACATACATCTAACAGTTAATAATTGCGAAAATTTAAAGTGCGGAAATAGAAAACCTAATTATTACATGGCTTTCGCAGATACAAATTCATTTAAATGAAAATAAAATGCAGAAATTAAAGAAACCTAATTAAAATCTATTACAACCTCGAAACAGTTACATAAATAATAATCAAAACGGTAATTAAAATATGCGTGACAAATTAAATGTGAAGAATTAATTGAGACCTAAAATCTAATAATAAAAAAATACTTTGGTTATTTTTTGGAGAAAAATTAATTATTTTCAACCCTAATTTCTAATTAGTTTTAATTATGAAATGGAATTAAATTAACCTAATTTAAACTAAAATAATTAATTCAAGAAAATAACTATTTTATGAAAAAAATGATTTTTGGGTGTTTTTGTGATTTTATGGTTTTTTGTAGTTAATAAAAAAAATAATTAATTTATGAAAGTAAATAACTAAATAAAACAAAATAAATAAAAGAAATAAAATAAAAGAAATTAGATTGGGCCTGTGATGAAGAAATTAGGGGGGTGTATCACTCAATTGTTGAGCCCAAGATGTGCTGAGCCCAGTCAATGCCTTGGATTCCATGATGCCTCCTCCTGTTGGTGCACCGTGGTCCTTTCTTGCATGGGCGTTGGATTGGATTGATAAGAGAATCGTTGGCTAGATGATGACAGTGCATGGTGTGATACGGTGGGAGAACTGACTAGTGTTTTGCGTTCGTATTCGCACTTGTGCGGTCGAGCAAGAGTCGCCACCGACTTTTTATTTTATCCTAAAGGAAAGGTTAAAAAAGCACAGCAAAAACCTTTTGAGATATTTCGTGGGTTCGGGGGGTAGATTATGAAAAGGGAAGGTATTAGCACCCTTTTCATCCATGGTTATCCATGGGCTCTTAGTTACTTGGTTTTTTAGATCACTTGCCTTGTTTTTCGATTGCTTTGAAAAATGGTGTGTGTGTGGGTGCTTTTGAAAATGTTTTGGAAGAAGATGCCTTGTCTTAGGCTAACCTTGTAACAATTCTTTACTCGAATATTTTACAAAGGCGTGTATCTTTTCGAAAAGATGTTTCAAAATGTTTTGAGAGTTTGTTTGAAAGTGTCGTGGATTATGGTTTTTGAAAAGAAGGCAAGTGTTTTTGCAAGTTTGATCTCAAGTAACTAAGAGTTTTGTCTACCCTATTGTACTCAAAGGTTTTTTGTCATGTTTTAACCCTTTTTAACAATTTTGTTCTACCATTGAAATTGGTAGGCAATCTTGCATTTTAGGAAGTTTATTCGGGACGGGCGCGGGTCATCGTATGGACCATGAATGCAATGGTGCCAAGCGTCTTTGGCAATTTGCTTTGAAGGGACTATGATCATTCCGTTTAGGCAACATTTTGAGGGACTTATGATCATTTGATTTTGTTTTGCCAAAGATACTCGACGTGCAAGCATGGCCCATTTTGGAAGGCAACATGTGGGATTACCCTAGGGGGTGCAAGTGTGATTGTGTATTGATTATATGCATTTGTCTTTGTATTAGGTTATCTAGCGTTTGTTTTTATGTACATACAAACCCTAGGTCTAACCATGGTATAATTGAAAACTGTAAATTGCGGAATGTAAAACCTACGCTATTACAAGATAGTGTCCGGGAGTGGGGGTATAAATGTACAAGGGGATGAGACTTATAGTACCCAATAAGTTACAACCAAATCGAATGTGCGATCAATGTGTAAATATCGAATGTATAAGATAAAATGTGTATAAGGTAATGTGAATGTATTTGTGTAGGTGTACAAGTGTATATGTATGTGAATTGTGTATGTGTAATTATGTACAGGTGCGAATTGTGGAATTGAGGCGTATTAGGGTTTGACCTAGAGAAATGTTTTTAATGAATCTTTGATTTATGTGTTTAATTATGTATAAAAGAAAAATGAAGTGTTTTGATTAAAATGTTCAATTTTTAATTAGATGGTATTTTAGTCCAAATGTTTGTGAATTTGATATTAGAGAAAAAAATGTATTTCTATTGTTATGTACAAAAATAAGAATAAAAAAGTATTTTCAATTTTTAATTACATGATGTGTACAAATGTATTTTAATTAAAGCAAGTTTCCTAGTTAATTATAAAAAATGATATGTACTATTTTATATACAAATATATTTTAATGTGTATTAAGAAATATTTTCAAGTTAATTATGCATAAAAAGTATTTTGTTATTTTATATACAAATATCTATCTAAAAAAAAAGATGCTTTAACTTTATGATAAAAAATGTATTTCAAGTTAGTATTTTACAAAAAATAAAAAGGTAAACATTGTTTTTATAAAAATGAAAAGGGTTAGTGTTTTATCAAGAAGAAGAAGTAAATATAAAAAAAAAGGAGGGTTAGTGATTAATGGGCTTAGAACAATTAAGAACGGGTCAGGCCCATGTTTGTCTTGAACGAAATTAGGGTTCGCGTGGAATTTTGTCATTCAGAACAAAGGCTAGGGTTAACAGCGGCGTGCTTGTGCATTTGTACGTTCGTCTTCGTCGCCTTTTGCAAGCTTTCTGACTCCGTCTCCTTGCTCAAGCCACCAGCAATTCCTTCGCCTCCTCTCCCTCTTCACGATTCAACGAAGCGCGTAGCACGGTAATCCACCTTCTTTGGCTGTTTAGGGTTTTACTTGCGTTTTCATTTGGGAATGTGTTTTCTTCTTGGTTAATTATTTGATTAGATTGAATGTTGATTTTGATTTGCATGTTGTGTTTATTTGGAGGTACGTGAGATGAAAGAAAGAACGTGCATTACCTTTACTGAAGAGGGGGAGGAATGGTGGAGATGCTCGGAGGCGTGCTGGCGAAGGGGAGAAGCGCGTGAAGTTTTGAGCTTTCCTGGTATTTTCGTTCTTACCTCTTGCTTAGGCTTTTATGATGACATGTGCTGAGAAGCCCTTCTTAAAATTCACTTTTTCTTTTATCTTCTTCTTCCACTATGATGCCTTTGGGAATTTATATGTTGCCTCGAACATTTGCTTTGAATACTTTAGAACATTGCTGCCTTGATATCTTTGTCTCTTCCACTTTCGTCCCTTTGAATTGTTGAATGCTTTT